TACAAAAAAAGAATAACATTTGAAACATTACTCTGCTTTTCAAATAGACATTATTGGATTAGAACGCATATTCAAGATTGTAATACATGAGCGAAGCTGGTAGCAAACAAATACGAAAAAAGAAGACGAAGCTCGATTAGAACATATGTTCACTACACTACAGCTCAAACGATGAAAGATTTCATTCACCAGTTCAAACGAAGATGGTAACAAGGTTTGTATGTATAGGTTTCGTATAGAGAAGTGTATATCTGAGTACTTGATCGACGAAGGACATAAGTGTAGTTTGGAAGATGGAAGAACACAAACATCGACGACTGCCTAGTGCGAGTGATACGTCTGGATGGATTTTTTAAATAATGGATTTGGATATCCTAGGGCCCTAGGGGTGATGGTAACATTATTGGTTGATTGAGTTATTCAATTTTTTGGTTTAAAGGTCCATCCAAGTCTTTGACAGACCATTTAAATAAATAACAACCAAAATCCATGAAATATTTGAGGGGACCTGTATTTTAATAGATTCCATGGAAATCTAAAATGAGGATACCTTGATTTTGGTGAAATTCTAAACTCAATTAAATTGCATATTGAGGAGTCCCCCCCCCCCCCCAATAATGGAGTAGTGTTTGAGGTTGCTTCTACTTTAAAAAAGTTACAGAGTATTTTTAAAGTAATTTGGGAGAAAGTATTTTATAGTAAAAGTTGTTAGTGTTTGAGAAAAAATTGTTTTTGAAAAAGTAAAAATTGATAGTATTTGGTTAAATAAGTGTTTTTTGTGTAATAGAAAAAGTGAAAACAAGTTTAAAGCACTCCTCCACTTGCTTCTAGTTTTTTGCTTTTAAGTAATTAAATAATTGCAACAGAAAATGTCACTTGAAAACACTCATTTCAACTTTTATAAGGCAAAAGCTTAAAAGCATTTTTTTAATTTTTTTGCAAACACTCCCTAAGGGAGTGTATAGTCTTAACCTAAAAAAAAGTACTTTTTAACTTTTAGCTTAAAAATGTTGAAATTGGTATTTTTCAAATATATGTTCCTACTTAAAAACAATTTAAAGCTAAAAGCTAGAAGTTAGAAACTCTAGAAAGATAAAGATTATTTTTTACTCTACATGTTTCTACATCTATCCGAACGAGATAAGAAAAAGAATTTAATATTCACATGTATTGCAGCAGCTCATCTTTCTCCGGAACCAGCTCCATGGCGGGAAGAGTTTTGAGGAAAACCTTTATTCTAGTGTTATTTTTTTCTTTTGTAGTACTTGTTTTTTATTTTAGTACAAGTAGATTTGGTTTAAATATTTAGATATTTGGAGTACTTTTAATAAACACTATTTTGATTCCGGTCATTTTAGGCTTAAAATTGTTCGATTCGTGTTTAGCGAGTTAGGTTACTTTGTATGAGTTGGTTGACGTTATATATATATATAGAGAGAGAGAGAGATTAGAGATCAAGTGCAAACCCATCTTAATATGCTAACCTACTAACTTAATCCTAGCCATTCATCTAACTCAAATCACCATCCGTGTAACGTTAATTGCTGAATTGAGGACTAATTAAAAGTAAGGGTGTTTTGGTCAATTACTCATCTTTCCATACCTTAACCGCCTACTTTCCGTTTCTTCTTTCCTTCCATATTTGCGATCGATAATGGTTTTCATCTCTGCGCTCGTCTTCGTCGTCCAAATAATGAATTGCTTCAAGTAATAATCTGTCAACATTGTCATCAAAATCCATGGAACCAGGTATTCGTATATCTGATGAACTCTGTTTTCATTCATTGATCGTTTTTTTGTCATGTCCATCCTCTATGTTTTCACATACGAATTTCATCAATACACTTCGTTAATGTTACCTTCTTTCACTTTGTATGTTTGAATTTGTTGTTTGTTCTGTTTCATTCGCCAATTCTATTTTGTTTATCAATTATGAATGAAGCAGGACCTTCTTTCAGTTTTGTATGTTTTAATTTGTTGTTTTTTCTATCATTCGCCAATTCTATGTTGTTTATCAATTATGAATGAATGAATATTGCAGCTTCATTAACGTCAATGGATAAACATTAAGTTTTTAACTATTTTCTTAATTTGTCTTTGTTTTCCGTTTTTGTCTTCTGCAAGGTGATATATGCATTAATTTTACATATATGGTGCATTTATTCAAACTTTGTTTTGTAGTGTTTATCCCAGATTTTGGTCATGTTTAATATTATGTATCGTTTGTTGTTTATATAGATCCCAATTGTGCTTTGCAAATTTCTCCTGGGGGTTCATAGTACTGGCTCCCTCAAGGGTCACCCAAAAAGAAACATATTGTTGGGATGATATTTTGTAATGTAGATGCTGCCTTTACTTTTTATAAACAATATGCTGCTGAATTGGGCTTTACTATTCGTCATCATGCAGCTAAGGGATGATCTTGTTTATATACATTTTCATCACAAATTTGTTCTGAAGGGAGAGGTGCGGTGCTTAAGGAGGTCCAAGGTTAATTAGCGGGTTATGCAGCCGATCCCTAAGCATTGGGATGATGTTTTATGATATAGATGCAGACATAAAGTTTTACAAAGAGTTTACAGTTGTATTTTGCCCCATAATGATAGCAGAAATTACCCCTTAAATAAATAGGATTTCATGATATGAATAAGTTTATTTAGTTATATTGTTCTGTTATCGTTCCATGTATTGGTATGTAAAATGTAAACAAATTTGAAAAATGAGTCTATTTTTACCTTTTCTTCGTTGTAAATGTGCACATGTGATTCACTTTTTCGTATTATAGTTGCACTTTACAGTACATTGAAATGCATTCCCAAATCCATTTATATGCATAATAATTTCATTTATTTATTAAACATACTCCACTAATGAGGACATTTGTTTCTTTTGATATTTGTATCAAATAGTTATGTGTTGTATCACGCTTTATTAAATTAGTGAATGCATTTCATAGTATGTATGGCTGCATTCTATAAACCGCCTCGATCTTTGCATAATAAAGATAAATGTAGCAAGTCTGTTAATATGTAATGCACCTTATACATCACAATGGTGCATCGTCATATGCTATGTAATGCATAGTTCACTATCTCTTCCCAATGTGTTAACGTTGTTGAACTAAACTCATTCATCTGAACTCATATAACACTTAATTACAACTAAAACTTAGATTCTCATACACCACTTCAAAAATAATAAACCAACATTAAAAAATGTTTTCAAAATTCATTGTCACAATGGCGGGAAGAGTTTAATATTCACATGTATTGCAGCAGCTCATCTTTCTCCGGAACCAGCTCCATGGCGGGAAGAGTTTTGAGGAAAACCTTTATTCTAGTGTTATTTTTTCTTTTGTAGTACTTGTTTTTTATTTTAGTACAAGTAGATTTGGTTTAAATATTTAGATATTTGGAGTACTTTTAATAAACACTATTTTGATTCCGGTCATTTTAGGCTTAAAATTGTTCGTTTCGTGTTTAGCAAGTTAGGTTACTTTGTATGAGTTGGTTGACTTTATATATATATATATATATATATATATATATATATATATAGGGAAGAGATCACATACAAACAATGCTTCCCATACAAAATGCAAATAAATCATATCCGTCCGATTTTGGTAAATCAAGCGTTGAAAACATGTTACACACCGTAATATGCTGTGGGCTGCGTAGGAGGGAAATGAAAAAAAAAACAGCCGCTGAGTAAGTAAGGATAGATAAGTAATTTCAGATTTTTTAAATGGGAACCGCAAGAATAGAAAAAGGAAGGAAATCACCCTAATTGCGCTAATACCCACTACTATCCGAACCACCCATGTATAGCAAATCAGAAAAAGGAAACAAGCAGAGGTTCTCCAAATAGTAAATGCACCAACGAAACCAAAATCGAAGAAGAACGGAAAAAGCTTGACTCTCAACGAAGGACTCAACAAAGGACGCCGTTTCTGCGAAGAAGGTAAGGTTTTTAAATTTTTTTGTTTGGATTAATTTGTTTGCATGGATGATTTCTTATTTTTTATGCACTAAGAGGGTTGTGTGGATGCATTTTGGCTGGACGTTAGATTGAGTGAACTATTTCGATGGTTGAATTTTGTAATGTAACCTCTTAGCTAATATGGAGTTCCACGTGAATGAAGTGTGCATTTTGGTTATGAATGTGGGTTTTTGTGTTCATGATTGGTGTTCCTATTTTCAGATATGTGCAGTTGAGTGTAGGTTTTTTTGTGATAGAATTAATGTGCAAAATAGTTCAGTTAAAGGTGAAGTTCAACTTTCAGTGAGGATTTTGTGTATGGGAGTTAAAATACAGACTAAGAAAGTTAGGGTGCATCTGAATATAAGGCGTGGTGTATGTAATTAAGATTTGTTCATATGATTTTTTTGTGATGGAGTTTATATGCATATGACTGTTTATTTGTTGTGATGGAGTTATTAAGTGCACTTATTGATGAATTGCATGTTTGGTAAATGCATTTACATTAAGTGATAGTGAATTTGAATGTGATATTAAGTGCAATTCGTGTGTTTAGTGATAATTTCTTGATTTGGAAAATGCATTTACAGTAATGTGAAGGTGCATTTGCATGTCTCATTTAGTGCATGTAGTGATGAAATCTAGTTACAGTGAAGAAAGTTAGGGTGCATTTAAATATAAGGTGTGGTGTATGTAATTAAGGTGTGTTCATATGATTTTTTTGTGATGGATTTTATATGCATATGACGTTTATTTGTTGTGATAGAGTTATTAAATGCACTTATGGATTACTTGCACGTTTGGTAAATGCATTTACATCAAAGTGATAGTGAATTTGAATGTGATATTAAGTGCAATTCATGTGTTTAGTGATAATTTCCTGATTTGAAAAATGCATTTACAGTAATATGAAGGTGCATATGAATGTCCCATTTAGTGCATGTAGTGATGAAATCCAGTTATTGTGCATCTAGAGCACGCAATATTGATAAATACGGGGAAATGCGTCAAAACGTGGTACGAAATAATATTATGTAACTAGTACTTATGGTAAGGTGCACTGTCGAAATTATTTTTTATGCGAGAAATGAAAATTATTAGGCTAAACAAAATTTTGTGCAGATAAATATGTTTGCGAAGTACATGGATTCCAGAAATATGATGACCAAATTTGAGAAAGTCAGGAAGGCAACACCAAAGAGGCTAGGAATGGAGTTCAGGGAGATGAAGAACTTTTACGACTATGTCATCTTCACAATGCGGCATATGGAAACATATCAAGGTCAAGGCTTGCAAGGATGGAATATTGGGCTGAAGAAAACAGACACCAAATTGGTAGGGACATTAGGTGTGAAGTACATCTTGGTAATTCTCCTGAATAAAAAGAATGAGTACATGCAGTCAAATTTAGTGAATGCAAGAAATTTTGCCAAGAAAGCTAAAGAACAGAAACAAAAGGTGGCAGAGCGAGAGAAGGGAGCAACGCCCAATTAATGAATTCAATGAAATTTGAAGTTGACATCAGTTTGACTCTGTTTTAACATTACAATTTACAATGATGTATTTGCATTTTTAAATAAGGACTGCTTTACGTTTAATATTTGTGTGAAACTTGACGTTGAATACAGTTTGTTTTAATATATGTTCCGGGTTTACATGTTTTTTTTTAATTTGATTGATGTTTGTAGTTGAATGAAATGCATAACATACAATACAAATTAGGTTTGTAAATCCAAGGTGCACTTGACAATGTGTTCGTGTGCAAATTAGGTTATAGTTACATAGTCAATAAATGTCATTAATTTTTTAGTCAATAAAATGTGAGATGTGTGAATGTGTACATTTAGTTGTACAAAAATAAATTGTATGTGTATTCACCGATTAATACAATCATGAGAAAACACTAATAAAGTATGAAGAAACAAATTAAACGTAATACAACTAGTGGTGGCTAATGCAGCATTTGAGAATGTAGCATGCACTTCAGAGTATGTTCGTGTGCAAGTTGTTATAATTACATAGTCAATAAATGTCATGGTTTTTTTAGTCAATAAATGGTGAGTTGTGTTAATGTGTACGTTTATTGTTACAAAAATATTTGTATGTGTATTTACTGATAAAAACAATTATGAAAAAACACCAAAGTATGGGGAACAAAGTAAGCGTATATAATTAGTGTTGACTCGTGACTAGTGTAGAACTACAAGGTGCACATAAGTGTATTCAAATATGCATACAAATAATGTGTATAATGTAGTAAGGACATGGTTTGGGTAGGGGAGCATTATGAGCTCTATGGAGTATGGGGGAGTTGCCAGTAGAAGAGATGGCCCTGCCGGTATGTGGGGATAGGGGAGAGGAGGGGATACATGAGTCGTCTTTGGGATGGGAGGTAATGGAGATAGGGTGTGTGGTGTTAGTGGGGGGTGGAGACAACTTGGGGGTTTGGGTAGAGATGCTATTGAGATGAGTGATAGGGGGATGGTTTGAGATATCAACACTGTGAGGTGAGGGGACAGGTTGAGAGGGTTGGAGGGGTGGTGTGGGGGTTGATTGAAAGGAGGGAGAAGGTGGAGTGGGGATAGAGGGGGGGTTGGGTGAAGAGATAGGATTGGGGGCGCTAGAGATGTGAGGGGCTTCCAAAATTAAGTGGGGTGAGGGTGTGGTGTTGGAGGAGCTGGGCTGGTTGATAGGAATGTGTTGTAAGAGCGGGGGGGGGGGGGGGGGGTAGCAGAGGTAATGGCTAAGGGTTGGTGTGAATTCTCTGAGTTAGTACTGATAGAGGGTCCTGCATAGGAGTTGTTATGTGCTGCCGGCTCAGGAAGGTTTTGAACAAGCAGAGAGGTGGTGGATTGGGCTCCATAGTTTTGTTTGGGTGCAGTGGTAGGCATGGCTGTATTTTTGTCTTGTATAAGCAGTGTAGCAGTGACATTATTGCTTTTAATTTGATGAGGGCAAATAATGGAGTTGTGACCAATAATGAAACAATTGTTGCAGTAGGTAGGGGGTTTTCAAACTGTAATGTTTGCCTGAACCCGGAGTCTCCTGTTTGGATCCATAGTGAAGTAGGCTTAGGAGAATCCAGGCTAAGTTCGATGCACATCCTAGCTGCTGAGGGTCGGGATAAGGAAAGGGTTGCACTGTCAATTCTTAGAGGTTTACCAATGCATTGGCCAATAGCAAACATGGAGGACTTAGAGTGGAAATGCAAGGGCAGCCCGGGAAGACTAACCCAAACTGGGAAAATCGGGGCTTCAACATAGGGCGAGAATTGAGGAGTCCACTTGGATATTCTCATGTTAAAACCGTAGACAAACCATTTTTGCCTATAGAACAGTCTAAGGTAATCCGCTTCAGAAGATAAGTGGATAATGTGAAATAATGAGAAAGAGGTACTCCAATAGGAGTCCTGACAGATATATTTATAATAGAAGAGTTGCCAAAATACAAAGTATTCCTAAACAGATATTAGGCAGATTCCTAAATATCTATTAGGTAGATTCCTAATTATATTAGCCTATTACACCCCCTCAAACTGTGCGGGAGATACAACGCGCAGGTTGTCTTTTAAAAAAAATGAAATTGCAAACTAAAAAAAAAACTCTTAGTAAATATATCCGTGAGCGGAAGATTAGAAGGCACATCTTTGACAATAAGATCTCCATGAGAATATATGTCTGCAGCAGCCAGCGGCGAACTCAACAGCGCGCTTGAAGCAAGCACCGTGGTCAGCGACGCAGAGAAGGTGTGTTGCGCGCACATAGGCAGCAGCAGGCGGCGAACTCAACGGCATGCTGGAAGCAAGCACCGTGTTCAGCGACGCGAAGCAGGTGATCTGTGCCATATTAGCCGCGCTCATCTTCAAAGGATCGAAGACTACCGTAAATGTGGCGGCAGTCGACCCCGAGGCGGCGGCGGCTATAATAAGGTTCATGGGAACCGAAAAAAAAAGAGAGAAAAAAATGTGTCTAAAAACCTAAGCTCTTGATACCATGTGAAAAAGAAAGAGTCCCAAACTATGGATCAGTATTTGCTAGAAATTAAGCTCTTGGCAGATTCCCTGGCAGCTATTAATTCTCCAGTCAGTGGGAGAGATCAAATTGAGTATGCTATTCTCGGGTTGGGACGTGGCTATGAGTCAGTTCTCAACAACATTGATCAATTACCGGGAATTCCAAGTCTTGAAGATCTTCGTCCCATCTTACAAGCCCAGGAGCAGCGCAATCTATTTTTCCAGGCACAGGAGTCGACTCCTGTACATCAAGCTTTTGCTGCACCTGCTCCCGTAGCTCGCGGTGGTGGACAACAGCGTGGTGGTGGACAGCAGCGTGCCCCTGGTGGTAGGGGATACCGAGGCGGCCGGGCTCGTGGTGGTAGAGGCCGCGGTGGAGGCCGTGGTTCTTACCAGCAGCAGTATGGGGCAAATCCTCCACACTATGGTGGCTATCAGCCACAACCAGCGCCCCAAATGCCGCGGGCGCCTGCATTTCCCGGGATTCCAGGTTCGGCGTTGTGTAATATCCGTTCTGGTAATAATTGTACTGTTTATTTTCCTACTTCTGCTACTCACCACAATTATGCAGGTTTCCCATCTGTGGATCAGTCCTACCAGTCTCCTCCCCCCCCGGTTGTTTGTCAATTATGTTTTTCTCCAGGTCACTCAGCACTCAACTGTTCTCGTTTCACTGCTTCCAATACCCCGGCCCTAGCTGCATTACCCACTGGTGAAAACAATGATTCGGTCTGGTATCCTGACTCTGGGGCTTCCGCTCATATGACTCCTCATGAAGGTATTTTTTCTTATAAAACTCCTTACACTGGCCCGAATCAAGTGTGTATTGCTAATGGTACTAAATTGCCTATTTCTCACATTGGTCATTTAAAGCTAGTCACACATGGTCGCCCGTTAAACCTCAACTCTGTTTATCATGTCCCACATATTAAATATAATTTACTATCTATTCAAAAGTTATGTGCGGATAATGCCTGTCAAGTAATTTTTGATAAAAATTCTTTTTCTGTTAAGGACAATCAAACGGGGGAGCTTCTTCTTCAGGCACTTAATAAAGACCATGTTTATCCTTTTCATGCCCTTCAAGCCCGTGTGGTTCCCGGTCCAGTCTGGCACAAGCGTTTGGGGCACTGTGGTGATAGAGTCCTTAGTCGCCTTAGGCAGCATAAATTAATTTCTCCTTCTTCTTCTTTTGTTCACGATTGTGTTTCTTGTAAGCTGGGTAAATCCCACAGACTTCCTTTTACAGATGTTACTCATGACTCCATTGCTCCGTTACAAATTATTCATTCAGATGTTTGGCAATCGCCAGTTTTATCCAACCTTGGATTCAAGTATTATGTGTCCTTTATTGATGATTTTTCTAGATATACTTGGATTTATCCGATGCACAGGAAGTCTGAAGTTTTTACTCACTTTTTGAATTTTCAAAAACTTGTTGAAAATCTTTTAAATTTGAAAATAAAAATTTTTCAGAGTGATGGGGGTGGTGAGTTTGATAACAATATTTTTAGAGAGCATTTTTTGAAATCTGGAATTCTATTTAGGAAGTCTTGTCCTGAGACTCCTGCTCAGAATGGTGTTGCGGAGCGTAAGCACAAACATTTACTAGAATTAACTAGGACTATGCTGATTGATTCTGCTATTCCTAGTCAATTTTGGGTTGATGCTCTTTATACTGCCACATTTATTATTAATCGACTTCCCACACCCATTTTGAACGGACTCACTCCGTATGAGAAACTTTTTAATAAAATTCCAGACTATGATTTCTTGCGTGTGTTTGGGTGTTCATGTTTTCCAAATTTTATTGCTGCCTCACACAACAAGCTATCACCTCGTTCCACACACTGTGTTTTTCTTGGTTATGCACCGGGATACAAAGGTTACCGTTGTCTTTCTCCAAGTACGGGCAGGGTATATGTGAGTCGGGATGTCACTTTTCATGAGAATGTTTTTCCATATTCCACACTTATGTCCATCCCTTCCAGTCCAAACTATAGCCTTTCCCAGTCTTGGTTATCAACCTCGTCTCTGAAATTCACTCCCTCCAACCCAACTTTACCACCCTGTTCCTCATCTATATCCTCTCCCTCACTGTCAGACTCACATGCATCATATACCCCACCCATCACTCCCACAGCCGAGCCTCCACCAAAAACTCCCATCCTTTCCCCATCACACCCCAATACTTCCAGCCCATCCTCCCCACCGAATTTCCATCCTGACGAGACCAGTCCCAGCTCTCAGTCCACTGCTGGCAGTTCATCCCACTCGGATGGCAGCAGATCACAGTCTACCTCGTCCGGTAGCTTACCTATTATTCCTTCAAATGTTCACCCTATGCGTACTCGGGCTAAGGATGGGATTTTTAAACCAAAACAAATTTTTAATTTAAGTGTCTTTTCTCCCCCGGATGATCCTACTTGTTTTACACAGGCAAATAAGAGTGGTATTTGGCGGGCAGCCATGGCGGATGAGTTTAATGCTTTAATTTCTAATAAAACTTGGGATTTGGTACCTTGGGATCATACTAAAAATGTGGTTGGTTGTAAGTGGATTTATAAGACCAAATATTTTTCTGATGGGTCCGTTGAACGGCATAAAGCTCGTTTAGTTGCTCAGGGGTTTAAACAACAGGCCGGCATTGACTTCACCGAAACCTTTAGTCCTGTTGTTAAACCCACTACTGTTCGTCTTATCTTATCTGTTGCTATTTCTCTGGGTTGGTCTGTCAGACAACTTGATGTGAAAAATGCTTTTTTACATGGATATTTAACTGAAGAGGTTTACATGCGACAACCTCAGGGCTTTTGTATAGATAACAATTATTCTAGTCAATAGGGGAAACCTGTAGTTTTTGGTTGAAACCGACCTTAGCAAACCAGCTTCTAAGGAGGTTGAGTGCAGGCCTCTGTTTTTCAAATGTACCGATGAGGGACCATTGGAGCTTGTCCACGAGCTTGGAGACTTCCTGAGGAGCAAAAGTGATGGATGGTAATCCCTCATGTGTGCCATAAGCTCTGGGAAAGTTGTTGTCAGGAAGTAGGGATGTTAGCAGATCATCCTGAGTGCCATTTTTTCTGGGAGGGTTGCTGATATGAGGTGGGGGGTTGGATAGGACAGAAGCATAGGAAGGTCTGGAGGGGGAGGGAAGGTGGAGGAGGCCAGGAGAAGATGACGTTGGGGGACGGCTGAGGGAAGGCTGGCCGGAGAACTGCCGTGGGGGGAGCCTAGAGTTTCTCCCTCTAGACATTTTTTAAGTGACCAAAATTATTAACAAACTAAGCCTCTCCCAATTATATATATATATATATATATATATATATATATATATATATATATATATATATATATATATTGTAATACCCGAGATTAATATAAGAGGATTAATAGTACTACTCATACCAACAGAGGTGCATCTCCTTTTAAGGGAGCTCATCACCCAAGAACTCCAAAGTTAAGCGTGCTTGCACGGGAGTAGTCTTGGGATGGGTGACCCCCTGGGAAGTTTCTCAGGGCGCGCATGAGTGAGGACAAAGTGCGCGGTAAAGGCTCGTGGTGGTTTGTGGGGACAGTACTATTGGTCCAAAGTAACTACCTCGGGTCCGGTGGGGCCGGGGTGTTACAGGTGGTATCAGAGAAACCCTGCGACAGTGTGCTGATCCGTTGGATATCGGGCGGGCACTTAGCAGGGGAAAAAAGATTCTGGGGTGTGATTGAGATTGGTTTAAGGGCGCAACGAGGACGTTGCGATCCTAAGTGGGGGTGATTGTAATACCCGAGATTAATTTAAGAGGATTAATAGTACTACTCATACCAACAGAGGTGCATCTCCTTTTAAGGGAGCTCATTACCCAAGAACTCCAAAGTTAAGCGTGCTCGCACGGGAGTAGTCTTGGGATGGGTGACCCCCTGGGAAGTTTCTCAGGGCGCGCATGAGTGAGGACAAAGTGCGCGGTAAAGGCTAGTGGCGGTTTGTGAGGACAGTACTATTGGTTCGGAGTAACTACCTCGGGTCCCACGGGGCCGGGGTGTTACAGGCCCCTGCGACAGTGTGCTGATTCGTTGGATATCGGGCAGACACCTAGCAGGGGAAAAGTTTCTGGGATTTGATTGAGATTGGTTTAAGGGCGCAACGAGGACGTTGCGATCCTAAGTGGGGGTGATTGTAATACCCGAGATTAATATAATAAGAGGATTAATAGTACTACTCATACCAATAGAGGTGCATCTCCTTTTAAGGGAGCTCATCACCCAAGAACTCCAAAGTTAAGCATGCTTGCACGGGAGTAGTCTTGGGATGGGTGACCCCCTGGGAAGTTTCTCAGGGCGCGCATGAGTGAGGACAAAGTGCGCGGTAAAGGCTCGTGGTGGTTTGTGGGGACAGTACTATTGGTCCAAAGTAACTACCTCGGGTCCGGTGGGGCCGGGGTGTTACATATATATATATATATATATATATATATATATATATATATATATATATATTCATAGGACTTATGATCAGAACCGTAGTAACTGTCTGGAGGTTGTCTCGTATGTTTTCTCGATATTACTATAAATTAAAATCCGTTCTTTTACATTAAAAAATGGCTTCTCGATATATTTTTTCATCATTTTCATTAAAAAATGGCTTCTGGATATAACAATGACCATAATGGCCAAGATTTTCATCATTTTCATTTTCATTTTCATTTACCCCAGTGCCGCAAAGGCTCCCACCTACGGTGGGGTAAGGGGGGTCGGATGTACGCAGTCTTACCTCTGTACTAAAGCACAGAGAGACTGTTTCCGGATGACCCGTAGTGAAAATCGCGTCCAAAATTGCATGGATTGACTGCTGCTTCATAACAAAGAAGCGCAGACAGTTTAGTGAGCCATTTTGCTTTATTCCATCATATTCTCAAGCCAAAAAATAATGAATCTTTGGGTCCATTGCAAATGATGGAAATAATGGCAAAGATTTTCATCCAACTAAAAGCCGGTTTTTATATTAAAAAATGGCTTCTTGATATTTTTTTTACTCCGTATTAAATTGAGCTATAACAATGACCATATTGGTAAAAAATTCACCAATAAACCACAAGAGTCCCATCTCCAAATCCAAAATCACATACTTAGGGGTGTTTTGGAACCGATTTTGCTTCTACTTCTTTTTTAAAGCAGAAGCAAAATCAGAATCAGTTTTTAGAAACTGGCCCCCCAACTTCTTAAAAACTGATTCTGGGAGTAAATTAGAGCACCGGAATCACTTCTGCACTTTCACCCAAACATTCCAACTTCTGTTTCTGCTCCCTGAAGGAGCAGAATCAGTTTTAAGAATCAGATCCAAACACCCCTTAAACGCAAACATGGTCTAAGTCCGCTTTAATCTTATAAAATTTCCCAAAATAGGTCCAAGGATTTTTTTAATTGGTTTCAATCCCAAACTAGACCAAATCGAATAAGATCGGATTTTAGTTAAACAGGCCAGACCAAATCACACCAAACCAGTCAGACTAGACTACACTCCGAAAGTTTTAAAATAGACATAGAAGTGATAGAATATACTTATAGCAAACTAGACCAAACTAAACTCAAACTTACTAGATCAAACAGTACAAAAAAAACACAATTCAATTAAAAATATCATAATACAATCTGATAGAAGGTTGTCATAGCAAATTAAATTTGTTTGTATGCAAGACTATTTTTAAAAATAGGATTAAAACAGTGTCAAGTTGAAATTATAATATCAAACTATGACTTATCATATACTCTGTACGTAATATTACTTCGTTTTTTTTATCATATTACTCAGTATTATTTAGCACTCCATAACACAAACCGCAGCCCTTCCCGTCAATAAATCAAATTCCCCACAAATTTATACGTATTCACTTAATCAATTCTGTTTTTTTCTCCAATCCAACATCATCTATATATTCACTCAGCAAAGTTTTTTAATTAAAACCTTACTTTTATTATTACACATTAATTTTTTGACAAATTGTTTTAGTGAATAATTATGACTTAAAATGTCAAGCATTTGATGTAAAAATAAATTAATTTGGAGTTTGATTTTTTTCATTGTCACTTCAGACATATTATGGAAACAAATAACTGGAAGATGTAAAAAAATAACGGTGAAACTTTATATTTTTAAAACTCTATATGTGTAATATTTGGTGTCACAAATCATAAAAAATATGAATTTGATATACTTTTTAAAAAATGGGAATACAAATAAAAAGTTATATTGCGTAACGGAGTACTTTTTAAAAAGTTGTGAATTTTAACCATTGGGGCTGCTACTTTTCCTTGCTTGCACATTGACTACGCACAACAAGCTTTTTCATGTGCTAGTCTCTCTCTCAAGTGAATCAAGCACCTAATTCCCCTCCAAAGGTGCCCAATTCACTTTGACACCTTGCAATACATTTTTGGCTAAAGGGTCAAATAGGTACATGAACTAACTTAAAATGTTCAATTAGCCCCTTATATAAGAGATTTAGCCCGGCTATCGCCAATTGGGGAGGTTCCCGGTTTAATTTTTTGATGAAATGTTTTGAGCATCTTCTTCATTAAATCTAGTTTACCCATACCAAATTTCAGCTAACAATTCAACCGGGAAGGTAGTCAAATGATTTTACGAAATGTATTACGCTGTTTAACTGCGCAGTTATCTTCAAAAAATCATTTGACTGCCTTCCCGATTGAATTTTTAGCTGAAATTTGGTATGGGTAAACTAGACTTAACGAAGAAGATGATCAAAAAATTTGATCAAAAAATTCCACCGGGAACCGCCCCAATTGGCGACGGCCGGGCAGAACCTCTTATATAAGGGGCTAATTGAACACTTTAAGTTAGTTCATGTACCTATTTGAACCTTTAGCCTACATTTTTTGGTAGAGTTGCATCATATTTGGAGTTCCCTCAGATTTGGGATTTTCACCCTTTCACCACAAGAACAATAAAATTAGAGACGACGGAATTAAATTAGTAGATTGCGTTGTTGATGGGGTCGTGTTATTCATACAAGTGAGAAATGAAACTCGATCAATTGGTCGTTTTCTTGGTTTTAGATTGTAGATATAATTTTGTGTCATTTCCACATTAAAATACCTAATAGATTATTTATGACCACTCTAAAATATTAAAATTCTTAAAAACAAATGTTTTCTTGCTTAATAAATTGTTAGCGATCAATCTACACGTAGAGGGGCTGAGGTTGAGTTACTCTGCACCTTTTCCTTTTAAATCAAGGACTTCGAATCCCTGTATAACAACTACTCTTGGATGGGATCAACGAAATAAACAATTGCTGGTGAACTAGACATGTTTATAAAAATAAAGTAGGGAAATTTAACAAGCGTCTGGGTGGTGTAGTCGGTTATCACGCTAGTCTCACACACTAGAGGTCCCCGGTTCGAACCCGGGCTCAGACACATTTTTGTTTCAATTTTGTCCTTTTGCGGATCTTTCTCTATAATGGTTTGTGTAAATACTTTGAACTTTGAGGATGATTATAATTGAGTAAAGGGCCAGTTTGGTCCTCGAAATTGCATAAAATGAGTCAAATAAGTCTTTATATAGGATATTCTATCCGGCCATCGCTATTTGGGGCGGTTCCCGATGGAATTTTTTGATGAATTTTTTTGAGCATATTATTCATTAAGTCTAGTTTACTCATACCAAATTTCAGCTAAAAATTCAATCGGGAAGACATTCAAATGAATTCTTGAAGATAACTGTGTTTTTAAAAGTAGGGAAATTCTGTCCGGACATGTTTATAATAATAAAGTAGGGAAATTTAACAAGCGTCTGGGTGGTGTAGTCGGTTATAAATACGAAATTATTTAGAATATGATGAAAATGGACTTTATTCAAAATATTTTTCATAAACGTATAAAATTTATAAATAAATATGATAATTAAAATCATTGTTAAAGTTTATCATCATTGACAAAAAAAATCAATATGGTGAACTTTTCGACTAATATATAAAATGAGATTTAATATATATTAAATTGATGAAGTAAAATACAAGATCTAATCATATCTGTTAATAATAAAATATATATTGAATTAGCATCAATGTTTATAGATTTTAATGTTATTATTGATGAACACTGGTCAGTCCACCTGTGCGTTGCACATATAACAAATTAATAGATGAAATTCATTTTTTTTATAATTCATTTCATGAGTAATGTTTATTGGGTTTTTTTACAAGAATATTACTAAAATAAAACTTATTTACATAAATATGACTATTCATTACTACAACATAGTCTTGTGGTAACTTAAGTT